TTATTTACTTTGGCTCTCAAATTCAAAAGATTGCCAGTCCTATCTAAATAAATATTCTTAAAAAGAACAAACGTTTCATCCATTTCATCATAACAGCTACAAAATGTCGTATGGTTCAGGGTTTTGTGAATCCTCATTTTAGATATGCCATGATCGATGAGAATTACAGCGCACCATCATTGCTTCTATTCTATTGCATTCAAACAGTGGAAAATAAACTTTGCTGCATGGAACAAATACTCAAGCTCTTTCGTGCCCAGAGCTTTAAAACAGCTTTGTCAATAAACACTTACAATTTTAATTTGAACAGAAAGCTTAGGGTAAATATTAGATAAATAAAAGGAGCATCTGCTACAAATAAGACTGGTCTGGGGAGCTTGAACTTTAATTTGAGAATAAAACGTAAGAATAGCTGTCTCGTAGGCAAAAATAAGGCAATTATTTCTATTTATTCCCAGAAGAACAGTATAAAAGTGCTGGCTGAATGCTGGATTTCACGTTAACTACAAAGAAACACAATCAAAAACAGCTATTACAATTCAATGGATAGATTTAACTGATAGATGGAGATTTAAAGATTACAAGACATAAAACACATAAAAACATGCCCAATTAGCCATGGAAGAAAACAATGGGTCTCAGCTTTCTGCAAAGAACAAGATTAGACATCCATAATGGTTATCTCTTACAGTTTCGTAAGTTTCTCCACAAGCCTCATCCAATTTTGAATGAAAAAGTTTCTCATTATACAATTTATTCAAATTCTTAAAGTAAAACAAAAATCAAAAGTGAGCACAAACTGAAAACCACATACTTTTTATCTGGATGCAATTTTTCTTAACAAATTTTCAACCCTGTATCTGCCTCAGCCACTTAATTTTAAACACAAAGTACAAGCATTTCATTACCAAAGAGCTAAAATCTGAGGATAAACATTTCAAATAAAGAATTATGAGATACTTAACAGTGATCAATCTACACAAGCACAGGCATACAGGGGACAAAACATTGTTAATTCATCCAACTGAAAATATACAGAGACACAATATACAGAGACACGAATATAATTTACATTTACGTTCCTTTTTTTTGTACTTTTTTCTGTAACACATATTTTACAATTTTTTTGTCATATTTTTTTTACACATTTTTCTTTTTTTTAAAATAAGTTTTATTTTTTTTAGGCATGAACTAGAAATGGATGTGAAACAACTTCCAAAGTCAAATTTCACAGACATTTCTCAATAACAATATCGCTTCATGCTGTGTGTCATTAAAACAGCATAATGTTTTTACACCTAAGTGTAAGGTCTATCACATTGGCATGCCACTGAAGCCTAAATGAAGGCGGCTCTTTTGGCTTCACACACTCTAGTACTCCCTTTGGCATATATCTAAGGCAATAATCGCTGTATTTAATACAACACACGAGAACCGGTCTCATCTTTTGAGGAATGGCTGCAGGATAGTAGCATTCTGCTGAAAGCATGATGATCTCAGCAGACTATTTTGAGAACATCATACAATACAGTTGCAATGTCATCGCAGATTTGATTACATTACAGGACCAGTTTCTTTTCCCCAATATTAACAGCAACATTCTGGATACATTCAACTGTCGCAGCAAAACATCAGATCTCAGTTTTTCAAGATGATACAGGCCATCAAAACTATGGATCATATGAGAAGTGAAAGCGGACAAACACGTTGCTCACGGTAGTAGAAAAAACACCTCCTTTAAGATCTCTGTATACTTATTTTTCAAGAATTAGACGAGGCCTTTTCCTAATGCCTTGACTTTTTTGTGAACTACAGCAGTGTTGATCTTTCTGAGTAGCTGTTGACGATCTTCTTGAGATTCGAACTCTCAGATTTCATTCGCTGATACCTTTATGTACATCAAACTTCCAACGGATGAACTCTTCAAAAAAAGAATGACTACACTTGTTTATTCTAAAAAAACAAAAACCCCTCACACAATTAACAACTGCATCAGCTGATCTGCATCACTTTTAACTTTTCACATGCAAATTATTGCATTTCCAATGCTTCTAATCCAGCGATCCCCCCATCCTCTAAAATCTTTTTTTTAATGTGGGAATGGGGGGTAAGAAGAGAGAGACAGACACAAGGGGGAGAGGGGGGCGTTAGAGAGCAAGAGAGACAGCGAGAGAGAGAGACAGAGAGAGAGAGAGAGAGAGAGAGAGAGAGAGAGAGAAATAGAGAAAGAGGGAGAGAGGAGGAGGGGAGGTACGACAAATATAGTAAAGCAAAAGAGAAGGGGACTATGTCCTACCCAGTCCACGTTTATCCACTGGTCATCTGTTTATATATATACAATAAACGTGCAATAAATGCCCAGCACATAGAGTTTCTGATAGCCTTCAAAGAAACAAAGAAGGCATGTCCTGATGACTGAATGTCCAGCTCATTTCGGGCTGTGTCACTATATACACACTTTACAGAGGGAAAACTTTATGATGGTAGTATCTGCAAATGCAGAATAAGTATTTACCTTCCACTCCTCGTGAGAAAGACAACAGATAAGGTCTATGTACACATTAAAGGGGTGGGAAGATGAGCTCGGCACTCATTTTTTAAATGTGGAAGCAGACAAATAATTATGGCCAATGTGTATTGCCTGTGGCAGTGCACAAAAAGTAAGAGCCAAAAACAAAAGAAAAAAAAAAAATCGACATTTTGTCTTCCCTTCATACTACCAGTTGTTACACATATTTTAAAAACCACCACATAGGTAAGACTGGAGAAATCATAAACAACAAAACGTTGTTTCAAAACTATGAAAATTTCCATAAGACATACAGACTATGGACAAAACGTGCGGATAATCTGTAGGTCTAAAAAATTTTCCACATGTGAAATGCATATGCTAGTTCTTTGGGGTTAATGGTTGTTCTTTCTCTTGACATAAACATTTTGCTAAACAATGAACACACATACAAAAGTGCATTAAAATATATGCAGCCAACTGGCAATTCAAAATGAATGAAAGAGGGAGAAAGTTAACAGAATGCGCACAAAACAAAAAAAATTAAACCAAACATACACACTGTACAAACTTAAATATGCATCAATTGATCCTTCAGACTAGAACGTGTAGAATATGTTTTCAGGCCACTTCTCACCAAACTGTATGTAAAGCCATAAATACTTGTCAAGCTACATTAAAATACTAAAGCAAAGTTCTCCCCCCCTCCCCCCCCAATTCTCTTTTCCCAACTTTACTTTACCAACAACAAACATGTTTTTAAAATAGGAAAACACAAGCTCCCTATGTACTTGTTTAACAAACAAAAAAAAAAGAGGGGGGGAAAGGGATAAATAAATCACAAAAACCAAATCAAACAAATTGGCTTTGTTTATGTCACATAAGGAAATGATGAAACAAAAAGGCTCACTTTAAAAGCAAGAAGGAAGACAAGTACAATGAAGAGTTGTGAAGATCTTCAGACAATGCTGGCATTTACAAAAGCAATAGTTAGGGTACATCTGGGTCACCCTTTTGGTAATTATACATTTGGAATACAGACCAAATACTAGAGTCTGTGTCAGTCCAACCCCATACACTATTATTGCTCTTTCTTTTTCTCGTTTTGAAATAGTGCACCAACTGCATGAGAAAGAGAACGGACAAACAACAGCCTTCATGGAACAGACTTTCCCAGGAATGTACTCTTCATGAGACAAAGGGTAAAAGAAAAACAAAAACACTCAAGGCATTACCATTGTCATCAAAATGGTACGCAACCTTTTAGACGCAATGAAACAATTTGAGCACGGCAACATACAGAAGTCTTGACAACATATCCACCACACAAGAGAGCTCACACCAAATAGTGCTTTTTTTTTTCTTCTTTAACCCAAGAGTTTCAAGATTTTATCACAGTCTGAATTATAGGAGACACCAGCATTGCAGCAGCAAGCCAAGCGTACAAAATAATTTTTTAAAAGTCACAACAAACAAAAATAGCATGCCCTTAAGAAATGTTGTAATGTCCAACTTCAGCACTCAGATCTTATGATAATGCTGGATGCAGACCTCAACAACAATTTCCCTTAAGTCTGTAGTCATGTGGGCTCTGCAGCAATGAATACTTCAGGGAAGCACAGATGAACAAGTCACATAAGACGTCCACCATGGGGACAGGAAGAGAGGGCATCCTTTCAGCAGATAATTCAGATCAGAAACATAAACAACAAGTAACACTATCAACTCAACGAACACCTCGATACCAGCCACTACTGCTCATCTCTGTCTGTAACAAAATGACGGAAAGGTCTTTGGACTAATTCCTTAATACCTCTCCTGCAGGTAATGCTGTGCATTTCGTGTATCAATTAAATTAACCCAACTGGCTAAATTGAATCTGTGTTTATCTACACAAGACACTCAAAAGTTGTGGTTTGTGGTTTCATGGAAATGAAATTCGTCAGCAGCCTGACCATCTTGAGACAGAACGCCACTGACAGACACACACGATGCATACCAGAGATGTGTATAAATTAATACTGCATCATCATCACATACTATCAGTGCAATCCTCTAAGTAAGTGGCTAGTTTTTTAAAATGTGCTCACCGTACCTTGAAAAGAGTAAACATCTCTGGCATTCTGTAATGCTAACACAAGTGAAGGAAGAATAAGGGCAGATTTTAAAACAATAATGCTGAAAGCCCCATGCAGGGTAAACAGAATCAACATTCAGTAGATTCACTATCATCAGGGCTATGAGATAATGCGAGGGAACAGCTGTGAAATGTCAAAGATCTGAGTTATTGTACAGGACTAATTTAACCTAGTCTTTACTGTCCATTCATGTCCAAAACGGAGAAGTATCACAGTAAGTAGAATTCCAATAGTGCTCACCACACCCATAAATGTTTGAGATAGGCAACACCTGACCTTTAAATATGAATGCCATTGCTTGCTCATATATGCACTCTAGTATTTGAGATCTTGTGATACACAGTCACTTCCAATTCTTTTTTTTTTTTTTTAAGTCACTTCATTCAATCAAAGTAATAATAAGATCAGGAAAAAGTCTTAACTGATATGTCAACTCAACTACAGTACATCAAAATAACCAAGAGAGAGAAAAAAAAGTCCCTGCAGCAATTTTTTACTGTGAAGGGAAGCATGAAAAATGAAACAGTGGTGTTGTGGGAGAGGCAGATCATGTGAGGATTCAGTCCCAGCCCACACTTTGCTCCAACATTATCCTAACAATTATCAAGGTTCTAATTCAAAGACAGTGTGGTTGTCCAAAGAAATTGCTTTGCAAGGGTGGGGGTCATCTCCTCTGAGGTAGGAATGCTGAAAGACCAAGAAACTGCAAGTATACTAAAATTACTTGCATTCTCTATAGTTCACACATACACAAAAAAAGAGATAAAATGTTTCAGGGTTAGTACATAAAGCTAGAAAGAAAAATTCCTGAAAGTCATCCAAGAAAAGAGTTAACTATGAATATTTACCATTCAAACTTGTTTAACTTACTATTATAGAAACAGGGCTTTTTCATTTTAAAAAATCCTACATTGGATGCAGAAACTTTCACATCAATAAAAACAGCCCCTCCGGTATGTCATGATTCATTGTCTCCCTCAAAGTTTCATCCTTTACAGTTTGTTAGAGCTGTCTCGCAAAAATCAACATTTAAAAAGTTTACACCATAATTTGTTCCAAATAGTCATTACAAAAATTGGACCAGGCCCCAAAAAATTTTGAGATTTGTTAGACCATTGAATACACCCTGACTAAACTTTGTTCAAAGCTATGTACTGATACAGTAATAAGTGAGTCAGTCCTTATGTATACTTGTAAATCAGACATGGCATCCCACAGACAACAAAAAGTTTGTATGGCTTTCCTTGCTGTAGTAAATTGTACATCCAACCACATCTGGGGGAACAAAACAGCTGCCTTGCTCATATCTATCTTATTCAAATAAATAGGTCTGGGACTGAAGATTTCGGGTCCTTAACATTCCACATGCAACTTTCAACTCTGGGCGACTACAAGACACCCGTTAGATTACACAAGTACTCTCTCGGCCAACTAAAAACATAAAGCAACAGAAATAACACATGAAATCAAGGCATAGACAGGGGAAATAAAATGCATATTTTTTCTACACATATACACAAGAAAAATTCTCCTCCATGTATCCTCCCACATGTGGGAAACGAATGCGGTCGGTCTAGTCCGTGAAAGCCCGTCAAGTCAAGATAGGTAGCTGATGCTAGCTAGCCTTGGTGAGCACTTGGCCACGATGGTCATAATCATGGATGAGCCTCTTAATGTGGCCCAGTTTCTGATGCAGGTACTCCATGCGTTGCTTCTTGGCCATGAACTTGGGATCAGACTTCTGAGCTTCATATTCCTCCAGAACTTGTTTCTTCAACACCTAAAATGACACCCCAAACAAAAAAAAAGGCTGGTTTAGAGCTGCAAAAGACATGGGTCTTACATCAAACAATAGAGAAGCAGGACAAAATTAGGACAAAATCAAAACTACTGAGAAGCAATTACGTAATAAATTTGCCCTCTCCATAAAGCAAAAAGGATGAGAACAATATAAGTCACCACAGGGAGTAGTCCCACAGTAAAAACTTCCAAATGGGTACTGAACCGTTTCAGCTCGACACCATTTCTGCTAAGATCTGAACCAATATCAGTTGTGACAGCCTCATCTTTTTCTGTAAATAATTTCTATGTGAGAACGACACAATATCAAGTTGCTGTCCACTGTAGGCAAGGTCCATACAACACAGTTCACCAAATGAATGAACATAATTTTAATTTTCACTGGGCTCACTACTGAGCGTCTATTCACAAAGGAGGATGTACAGTAAACTAGTAAAGTATCTGAGGAAAACAATTTACATTCAACAAACTTCTTTAAACTCATGGACTACGGTTCCCGTCATAGGTACGGGACGGGCGGCTGGTTCGCCGGTGCGGATCCCGTACCCCCGACGAGATGGACTTTGCGGTTTTGTTCTGAAACTTGTGCTCCTGTCACATGTACGGGAACGGAGACCAGTGCTAGTTTTGCCCCTTGTTTTGTTTCGTGCCGAGTTTGGCGGAAGTTGCACGGTAACTTTTTAAGTAATTGAAGGTGAAGGACAGTCACCTCTTCTGGGGTTGAACTGACCGGAACTCGCGCTATGTTTTTTCTATACAGCTGATAGTAATTTGACAGTCACGTCGAAGTAACCGTTGAAGAAGTCGCAAGAACAACAATCACATAATTTCGCTGTTTTTGATACTTCTGTTCGTTTTACTAGTTGTAGTGACTCAAATATAATGTGTCTGATAGTTAGGACCCTGGATATGTACCCGAACGCGGTCTGAGTTGTAGCTTTAGGGCAAGATCTAGATCTAGCACTAGCACTGGTGTTGTTTTTTGCACAACGAAATCAATCAACACACAGCCCAGCTTTTATATTTTTACCTCACACATGCATATAAATCTAAAAAGAACACTGTGACAAAAATAATTACAAAAGGGTAATTCTGAGAGAGTTGTGGTGGTGTTTTGAAATACCCCCAAAAATGCCAGTATTCAGCGCTAGTGACTGGTGAAAGGGGCCAGTAGTCAGTAAGTTAAAAAAAAGGCTGGTCGAACTTACTTCAAAGTCAGGAGATCCTTCCTCAGTCTGGTCAATCTGTGAGCGCAAGTTCAGGAACTTGCGGGCCACCGAGTCAACCTCACGGTGGAGCTGGTGGTACTCAGAGTACTCACGGTTAAACTCGTGTTTGTATTGCTGCCGCTGCTCAGTGTTTTTAATGGCCAGATACTTGCTGCTTGACAAACACAGAGAGGGACAAGAATTAATTTTCATTGCTCAAAGCATATTAATTCTAATTTATATTTTCAACAGGCTATGAAAGACACAAACACAAAAATTTTCATTGTACATGGTGCCATAATACCTGAGGCAAACAAAAAGCATATCAGCACAATCAGTGCCCAAATTTTCAACCCAGACACATAATGTGTGTGACGACGCAGTGGAATCAGGCGCTGGTCAATTTTTCGGCTTGAGGAGTTATCGGTGTCATCTTAAACCTTGTTCATTTGTCTTGCCTTCAAAGGAAAAAATTCTAATTTATTTTGAATAGAAATTGAGATATCCGCAATTGAAGGAGGTGGGGATCGGCTTGTTTTAGAGGTTAAATTAACGAGAAAATGGCCATCAAAGGTTGGTTATTTCCTTAGCTTGAGCCCGTAGTAACTATAAAAAATTACATTTTTTGTGCTTTTAATAAACATTTTCCAGTAAAATCCACACAGAAATGTGTTCTTGAATGGACATAAAAGATGTTGAGCCAAAATACAAAAACTAGAGAAAAATAGCCAAACATGCAGAAAAATGCCAATTTCTTCAAATCTCATTATCTTGACGAGCGCCAGATTTCACCATGCTGTCTCATATATATATATATATATACAAAGATTCTTTCTTAAAGACAAGTAAAAACCTTCAATTCTTTTTTAAAAAGCAACTTTTAAAATTCTCATAACATGAATATATTGAAAATCATGAGAAAAAGCAACTTTAAAAATTCTCATAATGTGAATATTAAAAATCAATCAGAAGACAGAATAACATTTAAAAAATCAGAAAATGCACAAAAAAATCCACATGAATAATCTGAATATATCAGATACAAATTTTAGTAAATTAAAAACAACTTTCAAACTTCATGTCTTTTCTTCAGTCAGGCCGTTAGATTCTTTTATTAAAACCTGCAAATTAGATGGTGAATTTGCACAGTTTTCCAAATGTTGATTGGCCATTTTATAACGGTGAGTCTGCATTCTTTTTTTGTTAAGTGTTTTACGGCACTCGCAACCGCATACCGTCATAATATGAGCGCGCTGGACACATTAAACTTTTCCAGTTGGTAGGAAATTTTGAATTTTGCCCAGGTGGCGGCCGAAGCCTACTCTTATCGATATCAAACCACCAAGGGATCTTTAATGTGCGCAACTTGCACACGGGCCCTCCAATATTTTTCGCCCTTGTCCGAGTCGGTATGATTCTGGCCACAATCATCAAAAGCGGACAACATGACATAACTGCTTAGGGAGTTGGATGAAAATCCAGCATTAATAAAGTTGTATCTTTAAATGGCAGACTCTCCTCACCTAATGAATTCAGGTTTGTCACAGCTTGAATCTTCAACAGTTCCTGAAAAATAAAACAAATTGCAGTTGTATTTGCTTTGACTGTTGGTAAAAAAAAAAATGAATTTCGATGTGTTAGACGGGGGGGGAAAAAAAAATTCTTAACATTAAAAAAGTTCAACAAAACCTACAAATGAAAAGCCACAACAAAGAACTGACAAAAGAGACATTCAATCACAGGACTTTGGTATGTAGTTATTTCAAATACATTTTTCAGACTTGAGTTTTCAGAGCTATTCTGTCATTTTCAACATAACATCTCACTAAATCACTTTCATCATCACTTCCTAACAAATGTTGGGAGGCTCTCCCTCTTTGGTATACAGCAGAACCTGTCCAAGATGGAATCACAAAGGAGCCAGAAAAAAAAAAAGCTCTTGTCATAAGACATTTTCCATACCAGATTTGGAAAATTAAGAGGAAAGGGGACCAGACGACCAACTGTACACAGAAGGATTACGGGTTGCCTGTTCGGTCCACAAGCAGTGGTCAAAACTTCATACCTCCAAAGCGCTATCCTAACCACTCTAAATAATGGCATGTGTCTGTCTAAATAATCCAATGACATCATTACTTTCATCTCATTAGGACCATTGTTTGACTAATTAACACTTACGGGACCGGCCTCACACCTGACTTTCAGTTCCCAAGGACCACAGTTGCCCTCTGCTTTCTGACTATGCGAGATATGGGTTACTCTAATATGAATAACTCAGCCCCCCCCCCCAGTAAATTTATAGACACGAAACTTGACCAACCTGTTGAAAATATGTTGCCCAGTACTAAAAATTTTGATTGAAAAAATATATTGGTTAGAGTCATTTAGGTGTAATCAATTATGCAATACTAAGAATTTGTCCAGAATCAGTTCCTAACAGGGATAAAAGACTAGACCTAGATCTACTTACTGAGTAAATTGTTCCTCAATCCATGTCAATAACAACTGATTTCAGATCTATCTTTCACCACTTTCTTCTCGATTTGAAGACTCTCGATCCAAATAATCAAGGTTACTGTTCAGGTCACCACTGTCTGTGTCCTTACAAATTTCGCTGAGCACCTGTTTTGGCGAAATACCTTTTCTAAACCCATTTTATCACTTCCCAAACTTAACTGCCAGAAATCAGAAGCAAAATATCCGAACAGAAACAATCGATAGGTTATTGAAAACAAAAATATGTTTGCAAAAACATAGACAGGCCTTAGAATAGATGTAGGTCATTTCGCTTGCAAGTATTCTCGTCCCCGGTCCTGGGGATGCAGTCGGGCTTCGCGAGTATACTCGTCTGCAGTGTCATAGGTGTTAGCAACAAAAACAATTAACATTTTTTTCTCCACCCTTAGCCCCACCCATCGATGAAGTAAGCACAATCAACCAATGCCACCCTTCCCCTGCAAGTAACAATGATTCCGGAAACTTTTTTCTCAGCAGGCTGTAAGATCAGTGCAGCAAGCAGTCGTCAAATTTCACACCTCTTCCCATCCCAGAAAGTGTTTTTGCCCGCGTGCCACTTTGAAGACAAACTATGAAATTTCACATCCACACCATCTTGACAATCTGCAAAGCTCAGGGCTCACACTGGTAAGGTAACAGCTATTCCCAAACCACACCCATCCCTCCCTTCTCCTGGTGGCGTGGCATAAAGGTTTGACATGGCAGAGCCAAGCCTGGGAGATTTGTTTTAAAAGAGGGTTGAACATAAAAAAACATTTTCCATCTTTTAAAGGTCAAAATCCTTCAAAAGGAAGGAATCTATCTGTCCATTTCCAGTTCGTCTTAGTTGCATCATTGAGGAATTGAGGAATTGATCAAAGGGGGAGCCGGGAGACTCCATCCATCATGATTGGTTTCCACTGTACTTGCTACTTTGAAAATACACCTTCAAACCTATCTTTAATCAACAGCCTTTGTTTTGAAAAAGGACACGTAAGTGGACTTTTGGGGAATACTTCTCAAGCATGTTATAAATTATTATGAAACAACACTGACAATCTTGTACATAATGAGTACAAAACATGCAACTTAAAACAGTCCCACAGTTATAGATCAATACCCCTATCGAACAATGCCATTAAAACTAAAAGTAAACATACATTATAACGGCATTTGCAACACAAATCAGGTCGATTAAATGCTGAGGAATAGAGGTGTTAATAGAGAGCAACATAAGTAGCTTGATAAGAAAGAAAAAGCAAATCACATCACAGCACCCACCCACTACCCACAAAAAATATGTGACAGTAAAAACAAACACAAACAAGACCAACCTTCAACATTTTCCCGGTTTGCAGTTGGTGATGATTGTTGGTTTAGGGTTGGTTTGACCACACTGACTGGACGCTCCTCGTTCTGGCGTCTTTCACCGTGGGCAATCCGTTTCTTTTTGTTGGCCGAGACTTCCTCTGGCTCTTCAATAACACGTTTCTGCAGAATCAAACTTTGTTATAAACTTTGACTCAAATACACAGAATCAACAAAGGACTGAATGATAATTTCCTAAATAGATGATCCCCCCACCCCTTTTTCTTTTGCATTTGATCAGATTTACAGTTAATATTAAGAGGCTACGCTCTTAGAGCTAATAAAAATTGCAACTTTTCCATGGAAGTCCAAAGAGATACAGTGAGACAATGTAAAAACACTCATTTACAGTAAAGTACAAAACTTTTTTCCATACAATCATCTAAAAATCAGAAGAGCATCAAACACAAACCTGGATATTGACTAAAATTTTATAACAGGAAAGGTTTCACATGCCCAACGAAGCAATTAATCCCAAAAATGATACAACCAAAAATTTGTTAACAGCATAACTCTAATTTTACTACCAGATGTACATTATTATCTATACACAGATCACAAAGGTTTGCACTAACTTGAGAGCTCCCTGGGCTCTCTGGGTTACTGCTGGCCGGGGACACGGCAGGCGAGGTGGGAGTCGTACGGCTCTCCTGCAGGTTTCTGCAACAAGAAATGATATGGAAAAAAATTAGTACCTTCATAGGTCTGAATCAACAAACTTGTTTGAGGAAGACAAATTTCAAGCGTATGTTGCCTACAGGACTTGAAATCATGTCCTCCTCAAACTATAGACACTCTGGCAACATTTTTCATCTCTCATCCACACGACACCAAATGAGAGAACCTACAATTGCTAATTCATGCCCGACTACAGAGAAAGTCATGAATGTTTTGCAATTCTACTCATCGGAGGAAAATAAGAAATCTTGTAAACACCCCCCCCCCAAACAAGTGGCCTCTCAGATTTACATGAAAGCTTTCATAATGTGCTGATCTCACAGGGGCTTATACTAAAATAAAAAGGCCTCTATTTAATTCCAATACAACTCACTTTTTTTTGGGGGGGGGGGGGACACCAAACATTTTCAGTTGGCAGGAAATTTTGAGTTTATCCATGATCATAGAACAGGAATCTAGATGCCGTCACCTTCATCAAGTAACTCCAACTTAGTCACTCACAACTCACACTCTGCATTGTGACTGAGTTCACAAAGTTTCTTCTTTTCACAAAGTCACGAAGATCAAGACATATGATTTTAAGATCAATATATTATGAATATATTATGCACGAGTATATCATGTATATATTATATATCACCGAGGCGAGCGACTATCACCCATCCAATGAAACGTGAGCCCTATAGTTCAATAACACGGCTTACAAGATATGACAGATCCCGATTCCACACAAGGCCTGCTCCAACACACACTTTGCAGAGACCTGTAGTAGTAATCAAAATTCTAAATGCTAATGCTAAAATTAGCTACCAAATTCAGTTTTTTTCCACTGGTATTGTCTTCAACATCTTTAAAAAAAAATTAATAATCCCAATCCATTAGGAAGTCCTATACTTGGCAGCACTCAGACTTGGAATGAACTTTGGGGACCCCAACAATTGCCGGGGCTCACACGATGCCTTGTCATGTGATATGCGAACCCGACAAGACGCTTGTATGACTTTCTTTTCTTTTTACACAAGTAACGAATATTGATTTATTTTCAAGGCGACACAGCGTTTATAATGCACAAACTGCATGTTACAATATGGTGTTATCAGATTATTACAGGCAAAATTTCTGGATGGTAATGAAAGCGAAAGTAGATCTTGATTTTCCCGATCGAGCCTCTGTATCACAACAAGCACTTCCGCTTGCCGCCATAGCCACCTGTTCGCATGAAACATACTCTCAGACTCAGACCGCGAGAAGCTGAATGAATATCACAATCGCGACAGGCAAAAATGAACTAAAGGACGTTATCGGATTTGGTTTTCAAATATTCTAGAACTTTTATGTATTTTACCGGGTCTTTCCCGAGGCAATTTAGATTTTCTCAAATATTTCCTTTTATTGCCGACGTTGATCCGACCATTTCCGTCATAACAAATTTTTTCCCGACAAAAATCCGACTTGAGGTGAGGGGCTGGGGGCAGAAAGTGGAGACGAAAGCAGACGACACAATATTGTTAGAGAGCAGGAAAGGACGTGCAAGGAGAAAATTTTAGAGAAGAAAATTTTCCGTCGCTATCCAAATTCAAACCTTGGACGTATTGAATGAGAGACGCACACCTTAACCTCTAGGCCACGAGAGCCCTTTGACTCACTTTTTCAGAAGAGCCCGATCCTGATCAGTGAAGAAAGGCCAGTCTTGCCGAACATCCACCCATGCAGCACGGGCCAAAGTGTAACTGTTGTCTTTGTTCAAAGTCGCCACTTGTTGTAAAACACTACCAAGAGAATTTTTGTCCTTCTCTCGGATACCATCTGAAAGAAAAAAACAATTCAAGTGTCATATTTAATTAACATTAACAGTTAACACAAAAAACAAATTATACCAATAAATTTTTCAAAAGGACAAATCCTTGAAAGTAGTAACTGCACAACACTTGGCCACCAGTAGCTGCATATTTCATCCACCCTTGTTATGTAATATTATGCTCAAGTAGAAGTTAGTCATCTACTGAGACAATTAACCAAGTAAGTCATGCAAGAACCAAAATCATAAATTAAATAAGGCAGTAAAAAAAAGTATTTAAAAATAGAAGATGTTAGGGGACTGCACAGTCCCATAGCGCTGCTTTGTGCACTGGGGGACTGCAAAGAAACAACCTTTGAACTTTGGAAGGGGTCAACAAGCCATCATCAGACAGATCTAGACCCTAGATCTAGTAAAGTAAGTTAATGAGTATGGTGGGATTTTCTAACATGTACACAGCCATAGCTTTTTTAAAATTTAGGGACCGATTTTGAAATAGTAAAAAGCACTTTACTTCTGGATTAATGATCTTTGTACCTGTGTTGTTTATAGGTTAGTAGTACCCATCTTTAAAAAACCTGTGGCATTGCTAGGTTTGTTGATCTATCTAGATCTAGATCTAGTAGTACCTATGACATAGACTGCAGAACTGCAGTCTGTGTCAGTCTGTGTCTATAACATCTAGGCCTAGATCTAGATCTAATTTAGATCTAGATCTAGTAGTAAGCCTAGTAGTATTACCAAAGATTCTCTACTTCCAAGGTATTGCAATCTGTATTTGGGCTTTTGTCCCATGCCGTGCGGGCCTTTGCCGTCGTCACTAGGCGACGCGAGGTTGGTTTCATCACCGACTGCTTGGGGTATGTGTGTGTGTTTCTTCGCAGTCCCCCAGTGCACAAAGTATCGCTAGGGGACTGCACAGTCCCCAAATAAGCAGCGCCAGGGGACTGCACAGTCCCCAAGTGGGTAGCGCTACAGCCCCCTAACAACTTCCCTTAAAAAAAATAGGAACAACTAATGACTGATTATTCCACATCACCCAGTATCCAGTTTTTTCTTTAAAATTCCAGAACAGTTTGAAAAAAATGCAATTAAAAATAAGTTTTGAAAACTTGTGAAATGTTACAGATATAAAAAGAACACTTCAGTGGCAACACAAGTGTTTGGTCTAAATATCAAAATATATTAAGAATTAAAATTTTCAAAGACCAATACCTTTCTGAAGCTTAAGAATGAGTTCAGGTTTCTTGTATGACTTGAGGGCTAACAAGTGTATCACACGATCTCTGAAAACAAAATGCAAGGGAAAAGGTGAAACAATTACATTCACTACAATTTCCTAGAAATACTTATGCTGCAGATCTGTCTCTTCCTTGACAGATACTTTTTCCAAGCCCTGATATTAAATGAACCTTAAAAAGTTAGCTCTTCGATCTTGTGCTTAAAACTGCAGCTAAACTGTGCAAAAGTAATGCACTTGGCCCTAAGGAAAAGAAAACGGCAGAAAGATGAAGAAGACGATTAATCACAACAAGTGCCATGTACACCTAAGCATAGATGTACTTCTTCAGATATATTCAGATGAATATCTTAAAAGCATTTAAGGTTTCAACACTAAAACTTCTCCGGGTTCAATGAACAAAGATAACGAATAAAAAATATCAAACTGAATTGCTATGAATTTATATAAGAGCATTTCAATAACAAAGTGTGCAAACCAAAATACAGGGTGAAAAAGTCAAGAAGAGTATCTCACCTGTATGGCATGTTAATAGCACCCGAGGACTGCTTTGTGGTTGATGAGGTTAAGACTCTGGAAGAATTGCTGGCACTCGAGAGCTTGGATGAAGACAAGGATTTACTCTGAGCTTGGGAAGAGGATAATGACAAGGGCGAATTCGACATCCTCTGAGACATGACTGATGTAGAATTGGAAGATGAAGAAGATAATGACAGGGCTGAGGAAGATGCCAGCCCAGAACCATGACGACCAGCTGCACTGAGGACACTGGATGGTGCAGGCTTGGAAATGATACTGGGCTTGGTAGCAGGAGGAATCTTAAGGCTTCCTGGTGATAAAACCTTTTTTACTCTCTTGCTAATGTGACGACCACTAGGTTTTATCTCTTTGGTACTGAAAAAAAGAAATTAGAAGAACATTTTGAAATTTAACATTAAAACATGCTTCACTATGAAGCCAAGACTTTCAAACTGAAGAACACAACACAGACGATAAAACAACGATTCTAAAGCATGAGATCAGCAAATTCAGTATTCTGGTCAGCCGATACAAAACTCAAGAAGGTTAACCTATGCATAACATTCAATATGGCAGTAACTACAATTGAAAATGGATATGGGAGGATATTGATTTCATGCACAAACTTCTCTGTATCATGAGACAGTGATAAAGTAAAGAGTACATAGGTAAACATGAAGTAACACAGACATACCACACTTTTTTGTTCTCTTCTTCAGCCATTGTCATCTTAGCACGGGTCCGGTCATAAACATCATCAGTAGCATGAACAGCCACTCTGTGGTGCATACTCCCAAGACTGTGCAGGTGACTCGTTCCATGCCTAACAGAGAATAGGCAGTAATTTGTTCATAGGGCATTTGTATAAGCTCATACAGAAAACAAGACCCCAAAAAGTTATAAAAGAAATAAATTTTGACAAAACGATTGTTCTTTCCCAATACTTTGAATGCTGCTTTTAAGTGTCGATTCAACCCTTACCTATTCTAATTCGGACAAACAGCTAAAGGGATGGAAATAATATCAATGAAGAATGATAACGGTAGCTCAAGTCTACCAGAAATTCTCAAAGAAAAAGTTTAGCTTACAAAAAGTATGCCAAAGTCACCAGAGACAACACATTAATTTGAGCTAACGGCCAACAAGTCAGATGAAGCAAATTAACTGGTTTACCGAGAAGTCTGTTGTATGCAGTCAAAGCTCCCATTTAAATCCCCTGGCAAAGCAGATAGTGACACTTGGTAAGTCCGTTCTGGTTGGCGACCAGCAGAAGCGACATGGCTAGGGATTCTTATGACCTGCAGTGAGTGAACAAAAGACAAGTTAGTTACAGTTACAGATATATAGATATAACCAAGAAAAAAAACTAACTTGAAGACCTAAAACTGATGACAATATTTTGATTCCCTTCTATGAAAACATTGTAATCTTGTAGCAACATTCACAAATGTGAGTTGTAATGAAAGATCTCAACTGGGATGTCTCTTCAACCATAAAATTTTGCAGAATTCTTTAAAGACAAAATTTAAACAAACTGTTGAAGAAGCATTTTGCAGAACATTATGAAGTAAAAAGGCTATTGAGAAATGTATACAGAAACTAATTATTTCTCCTTCACTAGAAGTTATGTTTTAAAACTATCACGAGCCTGTATGGATGATGACGAATAGTAGCCCAGATACAGCATTAACTCCTGAGATGAGTAATATTAATGCCAACCTGGGTCCACAGCATATGCCTTATAACTACAGGACACATGTGATCATTCTGCCCCGTATTTTCCTTTCCAGAGTATTTCGTCTGTCACACCATCACATCATCAATACCCTGGGCCTGTTATCTTAACATTAACAAAACTATATTTTTAAAAGTAACAAACTACAAAAGCAGATACGATCACTTCTATTAAATAGAAAATTGGCTTCACCAATACTAAGAGGAACCTCTTTATGAGAAAAAGAAAAATAAGCTCATCCCTCTTTCAAGAAGAAAAAAACCATGAGTCACTACTGCTACATTGCAATCACCAATGATTCTGTAACAAAGCCTGAAAACCTGGCCTACTTTTGATGTCAAAACATTATCAAAGTAAAAAGCTGACACAACTCAGGTATCAGGTATAAACCTGTGTTACCGTTCTATTATATAGCATGTATAGCGTCTTACTTTGGCATATGAAAGTATCAAATGTACTCACTCCCTGGTTCCCTTGAAACTGAATACTTGGCAATACCCCTTGACCCCTCTGAAAACACAAAAGAAGGAAAATCATTGACACAATTCACAACCAAAGTCAAGTACACGAGTCACATTCATAGAAAACTTGAATTCTGGACTGTCTCATGTGGTTGGAGTTTGTCATCATTTATGATGTCATAAATACCGGTCAAACTGAAGAAAGGATAATTTAGCTTGTGGCAGATAAAAATAAAACTTTCCTACTACAATTTAAGTAAAAGACAAACCAGAGTCTGTCTATTCCCAATGTGTTTCTCACATTTAAAATTCCCTAATCAATATGAAATCTCCACCTTGGCTAGCCTGTCTCCATGTCTCAAACTCAAACAATTGTAAGCGGAGCCCCATGTGAGCTACACGCCCAACATCCACTCATTTAACACCCCAGTCTATTTTGCTTGTCACATTGTGTGTGACTGTAGATGAAAGATAAAATGGTGTGCATCAGCAGCTATGCTTATCCTGCTAGGCAGTCTTTTCTCAGCAAAAGTATTGCCTTCATGAATACCTCAGCAACCCATTCCTCATTCCTGTCTTGCTAGCAGTCTTTTCTCTGCAAAAGCATATATAAGTTATAACTTAATGAACCATATTTCAATGGGTTTGCCAAATTACTTGTTTTTAATCTAAGATTGATGAATGATAGAAAGATAGACAGAGGAATCAGCTAGAACACACATAAGGATCATGTCATCACCATTACAGAGAAATTGTTCATACTTTTTGCATTTTGGTTGCGAGTTTTGGGTGCTTTAAAAGCAAACGTTAAAGAGGAAAAAACCTATCAGGAACCTTCCTCTAATTATTTTTCTATATCACATGACATTTGAAGTTCAGTCTATATTCTGGGCCATCCTGCTCAGTCCATCTGTCCGCCCGTACAGCTTCTATTGTTGTGTCAATCAGGTTGGCAGTGTTTCCTTTAGTTTAAGTAACAGTTTTACGGCAATTGCAACACAATAGGGTCATATAAGTGCCGAAGATTAGAGGTTTTACAAGAGAGTTGTATATTATAGTAGAGGGTTTTTCGGCACTCGCAACTGCATAAGGTCATATGAGCGCCAAGGGGAAAGTGTCAACAGAGAAGTCTTTACAGGGAATCAGACTTAGACTGCTCATCTCTCTAGCTTCAACAGCACAAGGTCTGCTTTGACTATCAAGGCACCCCAAAATAGCAGGTCACAAGAGAGTGACAAACATACAAAAGAAGTAGAGGAAAATGACAATAGTAAGGATCAGGAAAGAAAAGGCAGCAGTTCCCTGTTGTAGATCAGGCACAGTTATGAGCGTGACATGAGTCAGCCCATTTACAACTCTATATGCTTGAACGAGAAATGCCCCCCCTTTGGGAATGGCCTAAAGACACTTCAGTCAGGGTTGGTGATTTTTTTGATTTTTTAAATTTAAATCAGATTGTTTTTATTTAAATTGGATTTAAAAAATTTTTAAATTATTTTTTTAAATGTCGACACAGTTTGGGATTTTTGGTGGCTAAAAGTATGTTCTTTTAGTGCAAAATGCTTTGTCTTTATTTTAACTAATAATTAATTTAAGCAACTGCAAAAGAAAGCCTTAATCTGCTATATTAGTGAATTATGGCTACAGACAAAAAATGAAGAAAATTTCAGTCTAAAAGGAAGGGGGGAGGGGGTAATTATGCATAGATAAACTTGCATTTTATTACAGTGTGTGTACGCGCTTGTGTTTGTCTAAAAAGAAAAAGAAAATGCTAATTTCAATTATGAAAAAAAAGTAAATTGAATACTGTATTATTTTACTACTACTTACAGTGACAGGGGGGAAAGCAGACTTTTAAGTATGATTATATTAGTCTACTAGACCTTATATCTGTTTTATAAAACCAAGGAAAGGAATTCTGAACGTTTAAAGATGTAAAAACTATACATTTTTTAAAAGTGATTTAAATCACAGAGTTTTATTTTTAAAATCAAGTTGATTTAAATTTTTTAAAATCAACTGATTAAATCGACCTGATTTAAAATCAACCCAACCCTGGTTTTGAATTATGAAAAAAAATAAAATTGAATACTGTATTATTTTACAGTGACAGGGGGGAAAGCAGACCTTTAAGCATGATTACATTAGTCTACTAAACCTTATCTGTTTAATAAAACCAAGGAAAGGAATTCTGAATGTCATGTTTAAATATAGTAAAAACAGAATACATTTTTAAAAAAGTGATTCAAATCACTGATTTTATTTAAAAATCAAGTTGATTAAAATTTTAAAAATCAACTGACTTAAATCAACCCAGCTCTGACTTCAATAATTAATGAAAAAAAAAAGTAAATTGAATACTGTATTATTTTACAGTGAAAGGGGGGAAAGCAGACTTTTAACTATCAGTCTACTAAACTTTAGATCTATACCTGTTTTATGAAACCAAGGAAAGGAATTCTGAATGTTGAAATATGTAAAAACTGAATAAAAATAATTTTTAAAAAAAGTGATTTAAATCACTGATTTTTATTTTTAAAAATCAAGTTGATGTAAGTCAAAAAAATCAACCGATTTAAATCAACCTGATTTAAATCAACCCAACCCTGACTTCAGTCAGTGGCACTGCCCCGGGGGGTTTACAAGAGAGTAACAAAGACAAAAAAGAAGGAGAGATCAGGACGATAGATGTTTGATAAGAAAGAAGGAGCAAACAACACCAGAGCACCTGCCAACCAACCATCCGCGTATCCTGTCTCCGAATTTTTCATTTTTAAGATAATGAAACAACAGTGTTCTAAGGGTTAAAAATATCAGCAGTATAAAGAACATTATCATCTTGACGAGAGCCCTTAAAGAAGCACCAGTGTTAACACAGTTTCAAACTCAATGATAAGTCAAGGGCCAGATCTACAGTTACTAGTGCACTCTTAACTTCTTCCCATTTCCATTTTATTTCATAACCTTGACTAAGATCTAGTCTTACTTTATGGGTTTAAACTATATTCAAAACACAATGGGACAATGAAAAAAGAGAGTGTACAACAGAACTTCCTTTACTTTGTGACAATCAGATTTTTCATTCTATAATCTGTATAGATCTAGTTCTTTTTTCTTTTTATTTGCCCCTGTTTTAGATCCAGTTATTCATTTGGACAAAAATTTAAAAAAAGCAATCAAATGCTGTAAGTGCTTCTCATCTTGTTCAATTTAAAAAGCTTATCTTAGATGACTACTTTATTGGTGTAGTCCTCAGCGGATGACAGACTGTTTGATCACATTTTTCTGATAAACAGCTTTTTAAAATAATATATGCCTTTATCTGGCACTTTGATACTGGTTACAGATAATCAATACCTGGACAACAAAAGTTTGCAATAGTCTCTATTAAAAATGTTTATGTAATTACTTATTTTGAAAGTATGAACATACACATACCATAATAAAAGTAAAAAGCCAAAAATATTCTTCTCAAGACTATAACTTGATTGACATTTGAGGACAATAAGACCATTCTAAATTTCATTCTTATTTTAAAAGGCCACCCTTCATTAGTTTAAACAAATTTTTGCTCAAATGGCATTAATGGCTTTTTTGGTTCCCAGATGACCAAACTGAAACATACAATTAAATCCTATGTTAGGTCGAATTTCTCTGCAGAAGAGTGAACATAAACTGATTTACACCTGCTCTGCCTCGGAGATTTTGTCAGGAACAATAAAGCCAAAAACACCTGAGGAAGATAATTTCTTCAAGCTCAAGTGCTCACATTTACCTTTCTATTTCATTTAAAAGAGACAAAACTGACAAAATCAGTACGAGTTGTGGACTTATGGGTGTCAGCAATTTTGGTTTTGTAATGAAAATAAAAACAAAAGTTTCACTCTCATAAAAACTACATCTATTGAACATTCACAGAAACATGATAACCTGTTGTGATCCTTTTCATTTTTTTTCCTTAACTACTTCACTCTTCTGTAAGTCAAATTATCTGTCTAGTGATATTATCCAAGCTTTCATATAATAACACGCAACCACAGCATACAATCTCAGCACAAACTCCATAGCAAACATGTCACCTTTTGTCCCCATCATTCCTTGTAATAATATATAAAAATAAGTACTTTGATTTGACAGTGCAAACATCTGAATTATCAGGTGGCTATGAATATAAAAACATTATAATGTGTGGTATTGTGGTGAAATTTTAAACGCTTGCCAAAGTAATGAAATCAGAGAAATTGACATTTTTGCAGCTCATTAGTTCATTTCTATCTATTTTTTTTTGTTTCACACCTTTTATATGTCCATAATTACTTTAAAGACACATTTCTGTGTGGATTTTACTGAAAAACATTGATCACAGAGGTACAAAAATGGTAAATTTGCACTTCTGAGGATGCTCAAGCTATGGAAGACATCACACTTTGAGGTCATTGTTTCACTAATTTTAACTGTCACATCAGGCAACCCTCACCACTTCCAATCGCATATATCTCGACTTCTATTCAAGAGAGGCTGTTATATTTTTAGCCAAAAGCAAGACAACTGAACATGCTTTAAATTGAGGGTATTTTTTTCATCAAAAGCAAGACAACTGAACATGATTTAAAGTATGATGACATCGCAATAACTCCAAATGCCCAATATAACGGACAAGTGCATGATTCCACCAATTCGAAACACATGTAATATTATCTACACAGATCACCAAATCACCAAAATGGCTATGGGAAATTACATTTCTGCAAAACTTCTATAACAGATAGAGGTACTAGCCACAGGACAAGTGCTGATTCCAAAACAGAGCACTGACACTGCATTCTCACAAACTTGCCAGTGTTGGCCACCAATCTATTTCTCTTTCATGAGACACACAAATTTAATTTAAAAGCAAATGACAAACACAAACAGTACTTAATTTTTGCTTCTTCCTTTTATTTTCTTCAACAGATTTCTTCTCAGTGAATTTAATTTTTTAATATAAGGATATAGTCTCAGGGATGTAAACAGGTTTTGAAAAAAAAAAACGGAAAATATATGGCGAACGCACACTGACTGAAACAAAAATACAGTGAGGCTAAATTACAATTTTTCCTTCCCTCTATTGCAACAAGTAATCTCTATTTAGTATATAATATGTATTGTTTAGTAGACTTGTTAAAACTGGGGCCCAAATGGCAAGTCGGCCGAAAAAAACCGGAAAAAGCCAGAAGATTTACATCCCTGAGGTTTAACTCTTTGCGACCCTGCTATCATAAGTGAGTTACTGATCACTATTCATACAAGTACACTTTCCATTCTATTATAGGCTCAGGCTTCTCAATTTTTTCTGATCTTAGAATCTTGATTTTTACATTCAAAATTTAAAATCAATCCATGCCTAAATCTTCTGTTTGATGAGTGGGTTCAAGTATTACAAGCTGAAACACAGGCGGTTCAGAAGGAGTACATTTTAGGATTTAAAAACTAAAAAAAACCCACACCAAAAACAACAGAAGTTTGAATAAAGATATTTTCATCCTCAGCCTAAATACTCAGATTCAAAACATTGAGGCTTCATCTTTCACTACAAATAGAATGCTATCACTCAACTCAATGACATGAATCCATGCCAGACAAATTGATTTCTTCATTTTAAATTCTTTAAAAATCATCTCACTACTACTACTAGATAAATGCTGAATTCATGTGTTAGTCATTACATTTGAGCAAATTCTCAAAGGCTACTGTACTTTTTATAGTTCACATTCATCATAGCTTCATCAAAAGTATACAAAAGTGTTGACTCATTTATTACTTTCATTATAATTTCAATGACATTGACGATTAAGTCAGTTGAGGCTCTAGAAGAGCCTGTTCGACTATCTGGTAATGAATGACTATATTGCGTGCAGGCTAGACAAATCAGTTTTGGCAAGTGGGATTGTAGATCGTCCAAAGATCTTGATTCTTTCCAGTATTCATCCAGACGTCTCTTGAATGTGCCCACATTTGGGGTTGACACTACTGACTCAGGGAGATTGGTCCAAATAGCATGTTTACCCAATTTTTTTTTAAAGTTTGCCCTATACTCATACACAATCTGCTTCTTCGCTTTTGGAGCTTCTCTGGGTTGCCACCGGAGTTGTGTGGTTGTTGCCTTTGTAAAAGCTGGTCTTTTGGTGATGTAGTAGCCTTTGATGTACTTGTATGTTTCAATCATCATATCACCACGTAACCTACGATGTTCTAGAGATCAAGCTTTAATTTCTTCAGTCTTTCAGAACAAGGCTTTTCTTTGAGGTGACTCAGAATTTTGGTAGCCCGCCTTTCAACTGGCTCGATTTCACTACAAAGTCCTTTTTCAAAGGGTTGCCAAACAGTGTGCATACTCTAACAAAGGCCTCGCTAAACTCTTGTAGAGCAAAACAAAACATATCCTCAGAAAGGTAGTCAAATGATCGCCTAATAAGTCCAAAAATACGGTTCGCTTTTGATGTCATCTGGCTACGTGCTCTTTGAAGGTTAGTTTATCATCGACCACAACTCTTAAGTCTTTTTCTCTCTTTGTTACATTCAGTTTTTGTGTATTGAGGTGCTATCATCCACTGCTTGGTCCATAAAGTATTCATTATAACATTGTCTTTGCCAACTTTAGGACATAACACTTTTGCGGGTGGAAACAAAAAGTAACCATCGTAGAGACCATTCTCGGAGGGTATCCAAATCATCCTGTAAATCTTGTGGCCCATTCGCGGTGTCACTTCTAACGTAGAGCTTTGTGTCATCAGCGAACATTTTAGCCGTCGTTTTTAGTCCTCTGGGAAGATTGTTAATGTAAATTACAAACAAGAGGGGGCCTAAAACTGATCCTTGCGGGATTCTACTTGTAACTTCAGCTTTCTCTGACCGTGATACATTTATAATAACCCATTGTTTTCCGCTGGCCAAAAAGTCCTTAACCCACTTGAGTACCTTCCCTTAAACACCGCATGCAGAGAGCATAAGTCGCCTACGGGGAACGGAGTCAAAGGCTTTCTGATATTCATATAAATGACATCCACTAACCCTCCTTCATCCATAACACTCGTCCAGTCATCTAAAGCCTCCAATAGTTGTGTTATACATGAACGTCGAGTGACGAATCCATGTTGGTTATTAGAAATCAACATGACATGTTGTTTGCAATATGGTCCATGATGTGCCCTCTTACGAGCTTTTCCGATGACACATGTTAGGCTCCCAGGTCAATAATTTTTTACTGCCGCCTTGTTACCTTTCTTGAATATTGGTGAGACACGCCGCTGTCCATTCCACTGGTAGTACTCCATCATTTAGTGTCCTCCTAAAGAAAATTCCTAAAGGTTGTGCAAGTATGTCAGCTACCTGGGATAATACTCTGGGAGGGATGCCATCTGGTCCTGTTGCTTTGTTGACCTCAAGACTAACCAAAAACAACATCTCCTTCCCCCATAACAACAGTCAATAGCAGAACCAGGATCTCTAACAGGGAAAGGTGTAGCCCCTACAGCCAAACATAAAAAAGACATTTTGGAAGGTGATTTGTGGTAAGATGGCATGGGGTCAGAGCCCCCAGATTGGCCTGATTCTGATCACAGCACTGAGTAGTCCAAAAGTTCATTTACGAAGTTGGAACTTGACAAAAGTGTGGCTGTGCCACAAAATAATTTATAACATGGTAAAAGTCAAAGGACCAAGTTGTTCCCCGCATTTAATTCAGTTTCAATTAGATCAAGATCTATTATATCATAAAAATCTTGATGACGTTTTTTATTTACCATGACCATTTAACTCTAAACTATGGTAAATTTTTACTTTCACTCCCACACACAGATGCACTGCTTTGGGGGGTCAAACTGTCTTGTTACTGATTGCTGCAGACCACACATAAAGCCACTAGAACTGTCGCAAATCAATTATTTTCAGGAAAATTTCGAATCTAACTTGTAAAATATCGAATTATGGGTCAAAACAGGGGGGCATGCCCCCCCTGTAACCCCCCACCCAGATTTTCTTTTACCCCCTGGAACCCCGATTGGTCCAAAGCACGTCTATCTCGATTTAGAACAATCAGATATTTCAAAAACTATTAATTTGCGATGGGAATGAAGTTGATATTCGTGTTCACAGCGCACCAATGTACAAAATGGACAACTGGTAGCTAAGTGTGAGACGGGAGGGAAAGTAAAAAAATACACCTAAATTTTAACTCCGCTCTATTATAATTATATACTCTCTATATAATATTAGGCCTACCTAGGCCTATTCTTATTATATATACAGCAGCAGCATCATGTATGTTATCTCAAAGCTCTTTTCGTCATTAGATTTTATCTCTAGATTCTAGATCTAGATTCGCAACAGAAAATAAACTCCATTCCCCCAAAATAAGATGGTAGTGTCAATTGCCACCAAGTCCAAGTGACTCGGACTCGGTGGCAATTGACAATAATGGACAGCAGCGTCAATTGCCATCGAGTAAATTGGAGCTCTTTTGCGTTGGTGAGTAGATCTAGCCTATTGTGATTGAGTGCTCGGTGTTGTGCGTTCGCCTCTCTGTCCATCTGTGTGTGTGTTTTCCTGACCCCTGTCCCCCGGAATAAATGTTCCCCGATATAAAATGAATTTCTCTTTGAGTTTGTGACCTTCTACTTCTAGATTCTAGAATTGCCTGTATTGGTTATACACCGAAGTGTGGGCTAAGGCTAGCCCAGAACTAGGCCTACGTCTCATTGAAAACATGCCAAGCTGGTACCCTAGCTCTAGACTAGATGGTCGTCCAATGAAATTAGAACCCTAGATCTAGTAGAGAACACATCGACCCATTAGACACACATTATGAATAAGAAAGCTAAAGATGGTGTTGTCTTCAGACTTGACACCGCTTCACTCGGTGGCAATTGACGTTGCTGTCAATTATTCAATTGTCAATTGCCACCGCCAAACTTGGTGGCAATTGACACTACCAAAATTACACCACGTCACTCAGTGGCAATTGACGCTACCAAAATTAATAAGATAACCTACCACTACCACTACCATTTCCAAATTTACAACAAATATGATTTGTAAACATATGTTTTCTAGTTTTATCGTGGTATGCAAAAATAAAAAGAAACAGGCCCTAAGTAGCCTACAGTAGCCTAGTCACCAACTGCCAGAGGCCTACCTAGCCTACTGTGTCAAAAGGAGTGACTTGCAACATAGATCTAGAATCTAGATCTAGATTCTAGATCTAATCTAGATCTAGATTCTAGATCTAATCTAGATCTAGATTCTAGATCTAATCTAGATCTAGATTCTAGATCTTTTTAGAAATTCTAGAATCTAAGTCTTCCTTAAAATTCCTAGATCTAGATTTAGACAGATCATGAAGATTCAGACCCATACATTCATCATCTGGTTGGCAGAGAGAAGAGGAGAAAAAGACATCATGAGTGACAGGCTACATTAGATCTACAACAGTAACAGTCACAAAAAACAAAGAGTAGGCAAGTCTGGCCAGTTGAAAGAACCATCTTTTACCCTCAAAATACATTTTAAAAAGACTGTTCTTCAAGCATGAAAGAAAATTCAAATTCCATGTATCAAATCAGGAGTTAGTAATAAGCATTCAACTTTTTTCCCCTTTCTGTTAGCTCATTCGGGGTATAAATCTATCAGGTGAATGAGGAGAATTTGCGAAGTGTGCATTCCTAACATCTGCTGCCAAATGGTGGGCTTAAAGAACAATAAAATGAAATACAAACATCCTGAAGCTTACCTTTGATAATTCCTCTAGTGTTTTTAAACACGAATCCGTGAGTTTGAAATGGATTACTGTTTTATTGGAACCTAACAACTCGTTTGAAGCTAAACCATATTCTTGCCCCTCTAACAGTGTCGCCATAGTTGGTCTTGCTTAGCCCCCTGCCTTCCCAGATTTTTTTCAGAGACCACCTGGATTCTATTTTAATTTGGAGCTGGAGCCATCCAGTTTCTGAACAAACAAAAAATCATTGAAGAGAAGAAAACAATTTTTAAAAACGGCAACAACGACAATAACAACACAGAGTGCAAATGATCTAGGTCTTATTCCATCCCTTTCATTGAAAAAAATGTTTATTTTCTTTACAGATCGATTTCCTTACATGTCGGTTTAGATAATCGCAGAAGCACACCCAACACGCACACAGTCACGATGATATGCACATTCGCATGCACGCATTTGCTTTCTCACGCACACACGCATGTATGGCACCTTCGCACGCACACATTTGTGTGCATGTATGTATCCATGCATACTCATACATTTGCATACAAGTATGCATGCATATTAGCACGTACACGTCACAAAACTCACACCGTCAAAAAAGCACGCAAAGAAAATTTGGGGGAGATCACTCTTTTCCCAGTTGCTAAAACCAAAAAAAAGTTGATTTTTGTAGTACAGCCTTGGCCAATAACGGGAATATGTAGACTATCCTCAGAACGATACAATGAGATGTTCTTTAAAAGTGAAATAGGCCCACTAGAACCTACATGTGCAACACTATTTTCCTCGTATTAGACCTGACAGCAACCTTTGTACCGAAATAAGTTTAGAATTTTGTTTTCTAGATACAGATACAAAGCGGATGCGTGTAATGGGAAATATATAGGCCTATATATAATAATGTGTGAATATATATTT